CATCTTCTGTGGTTTGTACATAGAATGTGGGTATATGTATGTGTGTGTGTGTGTGTGTGTGTGTATAAATCAGCATGGATACATATACACAGATACACGTACTCCTAAAAATATATGTAAATGACACATGCATATGACATACGTGCTGCCTTTTCTTTCAAAAGAAACTAGAAGCATACTTTACTGCCTTTGAAGTTGTCATTTTTATCAAAAAGTGCTGTATGTTTTTCCCAGTAAGTGCTATAGAAAATATTACCCTGATTTTCATAGGTTTATTTTCAGCATCATTAATGATATATGCATGTATGTACATTTGCACAGAAACATACATAACATACATGTTTACACTCATCTTTTAACTGCTCACGCTCAATGATTTGTGTTGATAGTGATGACTCTACTTTTGTTCCGAAGACGAAATATAAACTTCCTTACCATTGTAAAAATAAAACATTAAAAAGGTTTTAGCAAATAGAATCTGTAGAGTTCCAGAAAAAAAATTAACTATATATTTAGAATTACACCATGCAATATTTTCCTTATTTCCATTTTTATAGCTGCTGTTTGACTGCATGGTTTTACATTGGGTGGTTGTATTGTATTTTTCAAAGATCCGTCATAATGCAACATTTTCCCAAATTTTCCATTAAGATTCTAATTTTATGGTAACTGGTGCACATTATTTTCTTAAGGAGTTGTTTAAATATGGGAAGTTTGAGGCCCACTTAAGAAACAGTGGTTAAACTTCTGTTACAAAATAAAAAGAAAATAGCTGCTGATAATATTCTGGAACTTATATATGCCTATATTCATTTACAGGTCTTAATCATTAATGGATCCAATAAAAACTTATTTTCATAGTTTCAATACTCAGCAAACTCATACTTTAATTTTTTTCTGTACTCTCTTGTAATTGTATCATCCTTTAGAAATCTTTTATATTAATGACTTATATTCAGTAACATTTATTTTTTAGCCACAAATCCAAATTGGGTAAAGTCTGAATTGTCACAGATGGTGGGCCATTTCATAACTTGGCCTGGTGGTAGGTAGAAATGGCCTGCAGAAAGGCAGATGGCAGACTGTTATCTGATGGCCTGTATATAACTAGGGGATTTAACTGATAAATTAATTGAATAGATTTTATTAGTAACAAAAAGGTAAAACGGCACATCTTCAGCTGACTGTAGATTTCACATAGTACATATATGCATTAATCCCAGTGAAGAATACATACATCGCATACTTTTTATTTACAATGAACTTCTGTTTTAGAATTCATAATTATTTCTGCAAATTGTGTCTTATAATTATTGCACTCAATTAAAGCCTATTAAATATGGCCAATCTCCTGGATTATTCAAAGTGAAAATAAAATTATTTTTTTCTGCTTGTATTTATTAGTTTACTTTCCAGTAGTGGACAGTCTATACGTTTAGTTATTTTGCACTGACTTTAAGTAGCTGCAAAATCTGGTAAAGGTGATCTAGGAAAAGATGGATCACCTTGATTGGGTGATCAGACTTTATTGGGGTACTTTAAAGCAAAATATCTTATTCTATTTTTAATTCTAAAACTTCTTTATGCAGAAACCTTTAAATGATAGTATGAAAATACCAATTGTAAGACATAGCTTATTGACTTAATTAGTATATTATACCAGTTTAGGAAATCTTCTAAAAGTCAAAACTACAAGGAAAAGCAACATAGTTCAAGCAGCTCTTGAACCAAACAAAATTGGTATACCCACATATTTTTTCAGCTGGAAAGCTATTAAGTCAAAATGGGAAATAAGGTCTATGGAGCTTTTCTGGTTTAAATAAATTGAGAATACGGGGTATTTTAAGATTTGTCATATGACAAAATATGCTGCATAAAATAAGCATGCACCAGTGCTATGGCATTAATATTTCCAAATAACATCAAATAACTAAGAAAATATATTGGAAGTTAAAGTTGTTTAATTTTTTTATATCAAGTCACCATTGCTAGACTGTTGTTTATGGTAAATTGCTTCTAATTTTTATTTCTCTGACTGCTTTGCAGTAAATCTTCTGTTAACATCTGGTGGCTCTCTAGTTGAAGAAGTTATATAACGTTATCCTAGTATTTTTCTTTCAAACTTTGAATCTTTCTTTCTATCAAGAGCATGTTAATGATGGTGTTTTTTGTAGTGCAATTGATTAAGGATGCCAGGTTTTGTAAAAGATACACATGAAGTCAATCAAACTGCCGTGTCTTGCACATAATGACTTTCTTTTTATTCCTCTTTTAGTATATAAATATCTACTAAACAGTGGCATATAATAAATTAAGCACAAATATACTAACAATTCTTGAAGTAAATATAAAAAAAGAATGTGTAATGAATAAGGAGGGAAAACAGTGGTTTTTGTTGAATTTTTTTTTTAATTAACTAGGAAAAACATGAGGAAGAATAGTTCGAGTGCCAATGATGGTTGCCAGTGGCACCAGGATTGGCATCAGACCTTCTTTGTTTAGCCTCGGATGCCTGTGATTTGTTGGTTGGCATCCGCATTGCAGTGCGCAATAATGTTACAATATATTGACAATTTCCAGATCTAGAAATGTCAATACTCCTTTTCGTTATTTCTAAAAGGTTTTTCTACTTCCATGGTTCTTCTGAAGGAAGAAATAAAGACCGGGCTATCAAGTTTTGTCATTGACCAACTTCATCTGGTTCTCCATTTCATTTCTTTCTTTCTCTCTCTCTCCTTCTCCCTCACTCTTCCTCCCTCCCTCCCTCTCTCTGTCTCTCTCTCCCTTCCTCTCTCTCTCTCTCACCTCCCCCCTCAAAATTCAGTCTTTTTTTTCTCTCTCCTGTCTTATCTTACATCCTAAAAAAGATGAGGATGCTAATAAGTTAGAAATGGTTTGACATGGCTTGAAATGTCATTGTCTTTAGTGATCTGGGGGAAGAAACTGCAAAGTTCATATTATGTTTGATAATTGGGTCATTAAAATGTTTTAATATTAATATAATCTTTAAAAACAGTTTTCTTTAGTGTTCTCCTTGTTCTTTATATCTGCTTTTTTCCTATTAAAAATAAACTAAAAAATGTCATGATCATCACTTGTATCAAGAAAACTATTTTTTTGTCACATATCAGGCAGCATGTATCATTTGGTATGAACTGCATCCCAGTCCATAAAATCATTTGGTAGTATTTGATTCAATCAGTGCAGCGCTTATGCTGTGTTCTGTTGCTACAAGAACCGCCATTTTGTTTGTCAAGTGCCAGGAGAGGAGAAAAAAAAGGCAGACAATGTGCTTGATGCCAATAATGGTTGCCAGTGGCACCGAGGTTGGCATCAGACCCTCTTTGTCTAGTTGCTGAATGCCTTTGATTCGTTGGTTGGCATCCGCATTGCAGTGGGCACATTGGAAAGTTTTTGACAATCACTGAATGAAAGCTGCTGTACTTGTTTGCTGCAGTAGAACCTTTTTGATAATATAAATACATTCTTCTTATAGATGTTTTACTTAGTCCTAAAGCAACTGATTTTATAAAATTTTGATCTTTTGTTTTATTCCTAAAACATAAAGCGTCTACAGCTGTATGTCTCCTTTATAGAATTATTAATCCCCATGTGTTTTTTCAGTATACATAAAATGTAAACCTTACATTTCAATATTCCAAAGCATGCTGAATAAAGCACATTGGGCCTGGAGAAATGTTTTTGGAAGTCTAAATGACTGAAATAATGGTAAATGCATTAAGCATTTTTAGATTATTTTTTAAAATATGTGTCTCTGTTTCCATTTCTCACATCAGTCATGTTACCCACCACATAGACATGAATGTGGTGTAAAAGTGATAAAACTAGTTGGCTATTGCTCCATCTGTTAATATGAATACACAGTTCAGAGGAGATTCTATAAGCTTATTTGAGAGCAGCAAAAAAGATACAGTTCTGCTTAGTCTGATATACTTCAGACCCTCCTGAATTTCAAAGTTCTGAAGCCATCAAGATGCTGTTCCAGTGGCATGATTGTGTTACCAGGAAATCAACAAAAAGGTTAAATCATTTCTGTTGAAGTTTCCTAGATAGTTAGCATTAATATTGCTTTCCGGTTAACCACCATTATCTCGTTAATTAATAAGAAGGATCAGCAGTTCTACCCAAAGGGCTGCACAGAAGGAAGTCTGGCCTACGTGAGTCCCTGAATCGCCAGACTGTGTCCTGTCTGTTTGGGAAGAAAAAATAGAAGGGGGGTGGGGAGAGAGTGGGCTGGGCTTTTTTGTAAAGTAGGTAATGGGGAACTTTGTGTGCTAAGATTCATCTCTTGTATGCTAGGAAGTTTACAGATCTCAAGAGATAGCCAACATATAACACTTGTTATCTTCAAGTTGTATAACTTCAGCAGTCTACAGTTTAAACTTATTTAGGCTTACTGATTTTTTGGACTGCGTTTTTTGCTGTTATTAAGCACATTTTCAGATATTCCCAACAGGAACACCAGAGTCTGTGAATGGCAACTGAATTGATCTGAAAATGTATTTAGCCTTGCTTAAAGTTAACAATCGTGGTTACTTTTTTAAGTGTCATCTCTATTACATGTGGGATCTTATAGTAATCCATATGTATTGGCTTGCTACAAACAGGATAGCTTCATTCAAAAAGAAATTACAATAATTCTTTTTCTAAGCATGTGGCACTTCTGACTGTTGTAAGAATTAACTTTTGAAATCTTAATGGCCTACTGTCTATTTGGTTTTCTTTTCTAAAATTTTTTGGGGAGCTGATATTCTAAATTAATTTTGTCTGGTCACTCCTAAATTCATACTTTCCGTACAGATTATTAAACCTATTGAATTTGTGCGTTTTATATTCTTTTTAGAAATATCAAAGTGGCAATTTTATGTACTTAAAATGTATGCAAAATGATTTAGGA